ACTGCATTAGTAATGAATATGTATTAGTGAGGGAGGTATTGTTTCAGTTTCCTGTAACATAATGGTGCATGGTAAACTACTGTAATGAACATTGACAAAATTTACAACTTTTCATTTGCTGCATTTCTTTGCAAGTTGACATACGAAAGTTTTGTAACATGTAAATGAAACTTTAGTATATATTTACTTAATGTCAGCACCAAGAGGGGGAAAATCTAATGACACTCAAAAGAGGGAAAAAACACTCATTAATACTTAACAAACTTGATATGTTGTAGAGACAAAGTTCACAGCAATCTGATGGGATTGCAGGGGCAAAGCCCCCAGATTAGGAAAGATGTTGATTCATGTGACCACACTTGTGCATTCCTAGAAGTGCCCTCAACTTTGTTGAATGGAGTAATAGAAACAGTGTCAGTGATAATTGTTTAGTATACCTTCGCAAACCAATCACAATGATAGTGGTATCAATAGATTTCTCTCACTCTCTACTACCCACATATATAGGAGAATTGCTGTGGAAACCCCCAAACCCCCATATTGGCCCCAATAGCAGGGAAGGGCATGAAAGGTACCAGGGAAATTTCAGGCTAAAATATCACTACAGTAGTAATTATCAAAGAATGTTATTCTGTTGTCTAATGCAGGGGACCATGCCCACTGCAAACCCTCTCCGGCAGGGCTACCGTTGACCAACCCAGGCCCAGGGAGATACAGAATCTGCCACATAGTCACAGCAGGATAGAATGCACAATTGACATGTGGGTTAACCACAGCAAGATGGAGCATAAGAATGATGATTTACTAACCTGATAAATGGATGACAAAGATCTGAGATACTCCCCATGCTGACCATATCGCAGATTAGTTTACTGCTACTCTCGGTACATTCCTGTGTGATTCGCTATTACTCAGTCCATATATGGAATATTCTTTGTTGTCTCAGATGGTGTTGGGGTGATAGCCCCCCCTCAGGGGGGTTGCATGAGACGCAGCCCCTTTGTAATAGATATATAGGTATATGATATATGCAATTACAGTGCCTCTGAACAGCCAGTACCAAGCACAAACCTACTGTACGTATGTGGTGGATTGTTTGTTGTCCAGCATGGGGGTTAGGAGGCTGCATCCCCCTATTGTTGGGGGTTGTAGCAGCACAGCTCCCTGTAGTTGACTCTATAAGGACCAACTTTATGTATATTATTCATATTTACCCCACAATTTCCTTGGTACTTTTCATGCCCTCCCCTGGTATTGGGCCCAAGGTCTTGGGTATTAGGGAGGTTTCTGTGGCATAATTTCTGTATATATTGGTAGTACAGAGTTAGAGGAAGCCATCAATACCACTATTGTCATTATGTGTCATGCAAAGGTATTCTAAATTTCTACCAGGGTAGTAACTTTCTAAACAATACCAATACTTCCATTCATTACCTGAACCGTTCAATTACAATGAAAAAAACAAACAAACCAAAAAACAGAATCAAGCTTATTACACAATGATTGGAACAGTAAATGATAATTGTAAGGTTGGATGGCTGTGTGAAAAAAGTATGAAAGACAGGTATGATACCTTCCTTTGTAAAATTATTAAAATAGATGGTGTGCCTATAATATACATATGAAAATCATAATATGAACAATTTTGTTTGCAGTGCAGTATCAAGTACTTCACTGAATACATAATTCATTACTATGATATGTTGCTTAGTTTTTTACTGCTATATGTGGTTAAAGTATACATAAGGATTGCTCTGGCCAGGGAGAAATAACAATAGGAAGGGAAGGGGGCTGGGGCAGAGCCCTATGCAAATGAAAATGTGAAGCACATGATTTTAATGTACATGATTTGCTCACCCACTTGGTTATCCACTTGGTTGCCACCATGCCTTATGGTGCTATGGTGTTAAGGTCAACAATCATCCGCTACATAGATTCTGGTAGGATGGAGCTTGGACTGTTCCATTATATGATAATAAGGAACCAAGAAGTTTATATGATCTTGACAAAGATTTGAGATTTTCATTGATACAAAAAAATGACAAATCTATCTGATGTAAATGTAGTTTGTTTATTTACAAGTGCATCCAACTGCCTGTTACAAGTGCTTAACACAACCTTCTACAACAGAACCTTGGGACTGCCTTAGATGATTAAATTGCACAATACCCCCAAACAGTTAACAATCTGACCAGTCCTTACTTACATGGTGATGTAAGATTAATTTAATGTCCTAGAATAATTTTTTTCCTGATTTGCTATACAAAGGCACACTAGTTTAAACAGAAGTGCATTTACCATTTGTTCACCAGTGAAGAATGAAAATTAAAAGAACTTAATTTTCAGTTTGCACAAGTAAAGTAGTAAATGAAAAGTGTTTAGATTTCATCAGTTTATAGATCTCATATACTGTCAGTCATGAGAGACTTGTTATTTACTAAAACTGTACCAAAGCTGAAAGTACAAGAGAGAATTCTTTCTAAAGTAATGTTTTGTTATG